TACATGTTTAAAAATATATGTAGTATCTTAACACAGCAGTGTGTATACAGTTTATAAATAAATACACATATATGGAGTTCCTAAACAATTTTTTTTTGCTATCAAAGTAAGGAAACTTCCTGTAAACATTTTCCTGCCTTGTAACCACAGTAATATTTTTTTAATGCAGAAGTCAGTCCTGTTAATATGTGTGTGCACTTATGTATTTGTGTATGTGGATGTAGTTTTCAACAACTTTGTGTTTAGGATGAAGTTCAAATCATAGCATGACTTTAAAAACTCTTCTCAGTTTACTGCCTGCAAATCATGGCAATATTCTCACTGGATGCAACAATGTTTATAGTCGAAGCCAAGCTTTTTTACTTCTTTGAGTGCATTGTCATTCCTTTATGTTGGATGATCCTTCTACATAGAATGATCTCATTTTTAAAAGTTCTTTTCACCTATTTAACTCCAGTTTTTTGTTCTTCTAGTCCTAGCTTATGTGTTACTTCCCCTGATATCGCTCTTCTGACTCACTAGACAAGGTAGTAACCCCTTTGCATAGACTCCCTTAGCTTTGAAATGGCCTCTCTCATATTTTTAGTGGCTTCCTAAAAGTTCTTAGGACAGGAAACATTTATCTCTTATTCACTCCTTTATCCCAATGGAAATGCTTGGAATGTTGGTAAAAGTGAAAGTGAAGTCGCTCAGTCGTGTCCGACTCTTTGTGATCCCGTGGACTGTAGCCTGCCATGCTCCTCTGTTCATGGGATTTCCCAGGAATGTTGGTAGTTCAGTTTAATTGAGTTCAGTCGCTCAATCATGTCCAACCCTTTGCAACCCCATGGACTGCAACATGCCAGGCTTTCCCTGTCCATCACCAACGCCCAGAGCTTGCTCAAACTCATGTCCATTGAGTCAGTGGTGCCATCCAACCATCTCATCCTCTTGTCCCCTTCTCCTCCTGCCTTCAGTCTTTCCCAGCATCAGGGTCTTTTCCAGTGAGTTAGTTCTTCACATCAGGTGGCCAACGTATTGGAGTTTCAGCATCAGTCCTTCCAGTGAATATTCAGGGTTGATTTCCTTTAGGATTGACTGGTTGGATCTCCTTGCAGTCCAAGGGATTCTGAAGAGTTCTCTCCAACACCACAGTTCAAAATCGTCAGTTCTTCGGTTCTCAGCTTCCTTTATGGTCCAATTTTCACATCCATACATGACTACTGGAAAAGCCATAGCTTTGACTGGACGGACCTGTGTTGGCAAAGTAATGTCTCTGCTTTTTCGTATGCTCTCTAGGTTGGTCATAGCTTTTCTTCCAAGGAGCAAGCGTCTTTTAATTTCATGACTGCAGCCACCATCTGCAGTGATTTTGGAGACCAAGAAAATAAAGTCTGTCATTGTTTCCACTGTTTCCCCATCTATTTGCCATGAAGTGCTAGGGCCGGATGCCATTATCTTAGTTTTCTGGATTTTGAGTTTTAAGCCAACTTTTTTACTCTCCTCTTTCGCTTTCATCAGGAGGCTCTTTAGTTCCTCTTCATTTTCTGCCATAAGGGTGGTGTCATCTGCATATCTGAGGTTATTGATATTTCTCCTGGCAATCTTGATTCCAACTTGTGCTTCATCCAGCCCTGGCATTTCACATAATGTACTCTGCATGTAAGTTAAATAAGCAGGGTGACAATATACAACCTTGATGTACTCCTCTCCTAATTTGGAATCAGTCCATTGTTCCATGTCCTGTTCTAACTGTTGCTTCCTGACCTGTGTACAGATATCTCAGGAGGCAGGTAAGGTGGTCTGGTATTCCCATTGCCTCCACTAGCTTTGTTCATAGTGGTGCTTCCTAAGGTCCACTTGACTTCGCACTCCAGGATGTCTGGCTCTAGGTGAATGATCACACCATCATAGTTATCCGGGTCATGAAGATCTATTTTGTATAGTTCTGTGTATTCTTGCTACCTCTTCTTAATATCTTCTGCTTCTGTTAGGTCCATACCATTTCTGTCCTTTATTGTGCCCATCTTTGCATGAAATGTTCCTTTGGTATCTCTAATTATCTTGAAGAGATCTCTAGTCTTTCCCATTCTATTGTTTTCCTCTATTTCTTTGCACTGATCACTTAGGAAGGCTTTCTTTTCTCTCCTTGCTATTCTTCAGATGGATATATCTTTCCTTTTCTCCTTTTCCTTTTGCTTTTCTTCTTTTCTCATATATTTTTAAGGCCTCCTCAGACAACCATTTTGGCTTTTTGCATTTCTTTTTCCTGGGGATGGTCTTGGTCACAGCCTCCTGTACAATGTCATGAACCTCTGTCCATAGTTCTTAAGGCTCGCTGTCTATCAGATCTAATCCCTTTAATCTATTTGTCACTTCCTCTGTAATCATAAAGGATTTCATTTAGGTCATACATGAATGGTCTAATGGTTTTCCCTACTTTCTTTAATTTAAGTCTGAATTTGCCAATAAGGAGTTCATGATCTGAACCACAGTCAGCTTCTGGTCTTGTTTTTGCTGAGTGAATAGAGCTTCTCCATCTTTGGCTGCAAAGAATATAATCAGTCTGATTTCGGTGTCAACCATCTGGTGATGTCCATGTGTATAGAGTCTTCTCTTGTGTTGTTGGAAGAGGGTGTTTGCTATGACCAGTGCGTTCTCTTGGCAGAACTGAAAAGGTTACTTACTGTATGATTCCAACTGTGTGACAGTTTGGAAAAGACAAAACTGTAGACAGTAGAAAGATCAGTGGAGTAGAGATCAGTAGAAAGATCTCTTGCCTGGAGAGTTCCATGGACAAAGGAGCCTGGTGGACTATAGTCCATGGGGTTGCACAGAGTCAGACATGACAGAACATGCACACACACATGTGAATTGCATCTCAGTAAAGCTAATACGTTTTAGCAAAAATTGGTGGTTTGCTTTCTAGTGGCAAAATATAAAATATTGTATGGAGAGAGGTGATATTCTGTTATATTTCCTTGCACTTTAAATGGAGTTTCGAAAGGAAATAAACTGTATAGGTTTTTTTAAAAGATCAGGCTTTAATGTGATATAATAAACAGTGACAAGAGAATATTTGGAAACATTTGGATAAAAACAACCCTTGAATGAGACATAGATTAAGTGGCCAGTCTGCCTTTCAGGATAAATAGTCATCCACCTCATTTTTATTCTTTTACTTTATAGTATATTATGTGACTTTAAATAGCTCAAAAGGTTTGATTTTTTTTTTCTCCTGCCATTAATTTATCTAATTTTCTGATTTCTCCTTTGAAAAAGGACAGCACCATCCCACTTCCTCACTTCCTTAGTAAGATGAGTTCAGTAACTCTTTACTTCTCTAATCTCATTTTGAGCACTAAAAAAATGTGATAATATCCGTACTGATTCTTTTTTAAAGAGTAACAAAGGGTTTGAAATCTTTCTCTAATGGCTTTGTTCAATTGATTTGATAACATCCACATTTACTTTGTTTGTTGGGCTACCTGTTATATCCTTGAGACAGACTCCTGGCATCATTCTTGCTTTCTTTGGCTTCATTCGTAAGTCCCGTCTTCTCTGCTCCTATGGTAGTGTGTGTGTGTGTGTGTGTGTGTGTGTGTGTGTGTGTGTGTGTGTGTGTGTGTGTGTGTGTACGTGCGCGCGCACACACACACACGCATGCTCTCAGTCGTGTCCAACTCTTCCCAAGGACTGTGCTCCTATGGCAGTGTGTATGTGCGTGCACGTGTACGTGCATGCCCGCATCACACTCTCGGTCACATCCACTCCCATAGACTGTAGCTCCTCTGTCCGTGAAATTTTCCAGGCAAGAATACTGGAGCAGTTTGCCTTTTCTTTCTTCAGGGGATCTTCCCTACCCCGGGATCAAACCCATGTCTCCTGCATTGACAGGCGAGTTCTTTACCAGCTGAACCACCAAGGAAGTTCACTTCATGCATATCTTTTTTTTCTCCCCATATCTCCACGTACTGGTATCTTCTGTTTATTGGCCTGTCTCTTCCATTAGCCTGTATGCTTCATTAAGGCCAATGATTGGATCTTACCTTTGTACCTCAACGTCTGTAGTTGAATTCGGCAAATAGAAAGTACTCAATAAAGGCTTATTGAACTGAGCTTCATCACAGTAGTAGCTGTATTATCAGGTGTGATCGGGAGTGATATTTATTCTGTTAATTTTTAAAGAGTCAAAGCTATAATTATTGAAAAATATATATACCCATCTTTAAGTTTTATTTTAATTTAAGCATAGTGGTATAATCTTTGACAATGATTTGATGCAGAGCATGGCCTTTGAATATAGTACCCTAATTATAGTTCTGATAGTCTTTTTTGCATTGAAAAACAAACAGAAAATTTTAAAACTTACAATGAAAATGATTTATTTAAAATAGAAGCACTTGGAAAGAACTTTGAGGTGTGAATACAGAATTTTCCCCAGTTTGTAACATATATCCACAGATATCAGAGCAATTTTTCTTAGCAACTCAATTTTATTAATTCTGTTTTAAACATTTCTTGAAATATTTTAAATAGTTTTTATAGAAACAGTAGCTGTCTTTTTGCAGTTCATATTTCTGTTAACTAAATGCAGTGGCATTAGCAAGTTTCGGAACAAACAGACATAACTGATTGGTTCTTATTAAGCATATACTTCAAGTATTTGGATTAGAAATACAAAGAAAGTACTGAAGAGTAGCTAACCAGCTCTGAGCATTAAAGCTTACCCCTAGCATCCATAATACATTTTATGCAAAAGAATGGAGAATGTTGATTAATTTAGTAAATCACTTACTGGAGGGAATTTATGAGAATTTATGCTTTTTTTTTCTGTTCCAAAATTTCATCAATTATAGACAGCTTAGGCGGGGTCTGGTATATCTTTCCACAGGATTTCATAAATTTGTTCTTAAAACTCAGTGCTTTAAAGTGTCTTATTGTCTTTTCAAGTCACTCTGGCCCCACACAAAGAATTTCATGCTAATTGGTTTTTTTTTTTATGTTTGTTTTAATTTCAGTGGTAGGAATGGGATCCTGGTGCTTCCACATGACTCTGAAATATGAAATGCAGGTCAGTAATGACAAAATTGACTAAATGCTTATTTCTCTTAGTCCAGAGACACTTCACATTTGAGGAAAGAGCAAATTACTAGATGATGATATTGAGACAAGAGAAAAAAGATGAGATCTGTAATCCCTGGAGTTTTTACTTCAGACCAAAGGATCCAGGTTGAATAAGTGAAGTAAAGAGGCAAGCAAAGAAGTGGTCCAGAGAGAAACTAAGCAAGAGCAGTATGAGTTTTTGACCACCTCTGTTATGGCATGAATAGCTTTAGAGCAGGATTGGAAAGTAAAATGCCATTCAGACATCATGGTAAGATAAAATCAGTTCACCAAAACTATGTATTCTTATTCTAAGCTGCCTATATTCCCTTATGTCTCTTTTATGGCATCCAGTTGAATGGTCTGGTTCCTTTAACTAGCAGGGTTTTAGAGCTATGCAAGGATTTATATTTACTGTCCTTGCCCCAAGGGGGCCATATAGGTTGTCCCAAATCTTTTAACCTCTTTGTTCCCCATTGCTAACCCAGAAGCTTCTAGAATAACACCGTCCAATAAAAATGTAACGTTGAGGTTCATGCTGAGGTTTGACAGAAAACAAAAAAATTCTGTAAAGCAATTATTCTTCAATTAAAAAGTAAATTTGAAAAAAATATATAATGTGAACTACTTGTACAATTTCCAGTAGTCTCCAGTAGTCACATTTTAAAAAGCCACATTAAAAGAAATAGGTGTAATTAATTTTAATAATATATTTTAACTCAGTATATCCGAAGTATTGCTATTATTTCAACATGTAATTGATATAAAAACCTATTAATGAAATGTTTCACAGCCTAAAATTGGGTATATATTTTATACTTGCAGTGTATTTCAGTTTAGATTACTCCAAATGCTCAATAGCCACATATGCCTAGTGCCTACTGTATTGGATAGCGCTAATCTGGATCTGTTTATGTAACAGTCTATGCATTACTAATTACAGCCATATTAAAATATAAGAGTGACATTCTATAAAACTAGTGGCATATAATCTTCAAAACTATCCATGGTCATAAAATGAAAAGACCGAGGAACTGTGCAAGATTGAAGGAGACTAAAAAGACATGAGAAGTAAATACACTGTTTAATTCTGGACTGGATCCTGTGAATGTATGTGTGTGTGCATGTGCTTATACTTATGATGTTATTGGGACACTTAGAAAAACTTAATGGGGGTCTGAGGATTATGTAGTAGTAATTAATCTATGTTACTTTCCTAATTTTGTTGGTGGTATTGTGGATATGTAGGTGTATATCTTTTGTTATAGATGTAATTCACATATCATAAAATATACCCTTTTAAAGCATACAAGTTGTTTTAAGTTTACTCACAAAGTTGTGGAACCATCACTACTCTCTAGTTCCAGACTACTTTCTTCACCTCAAAGAGAAATCTCATTTCTATTAGCAGTCACTCCCCATTAATTCCTCCACCTAGCCCTTGACAACCATTGATCTACTCTCTCTCCATGGATTTGCCTATTCTATACATTTTATAGCAAATGGATCATACAATATGTGGCCTTTTGTATCTGAGCTTTTTCACTTAGGTCAAAATATATCATTGTTTAGATATGGCATATTTTGTTTATCAGCTTATTAATTAGTGGATATTTGGGTTGTTTTTGAGTTTTTGGTTTTTGAACATAATGCTGCTATCAGCATGTATACACAAGTTTTTGTGTGGATGTATGTTTTCAGTTCTCTTTAGGCATATGTTTGGGAGTGAAATTTCTGGGTCACACGGTAGATAACTCTATATTTAACCTTTTGAGGAGCTGCTAGACTGTTTTTCTCAGTGACCGTACCATTATACATTCCTGCTGGCAATTTTCCGTATTCTTGCCAGCACTTGTTATTGTCTGTCCTTTTAATTAGAGCCATCTTAGTGGGTGTGAAGTAGTATCTCATTGTGGTGTTCTTTTGCATTTCCCTAATAATAAATGAGCACTTCCCTGGTGGCTCAGTGGTAAATAATCTGCCTTCCAAGCAGGAGATGCAGGTTCAGTTCAATCACTAGGTCAGGAAGATCCGCTGGAGAAGAAAATGGCAACCTGTTCTAATATTCTTGCTTGGGAAATCCCATGAACAGAGGAGCCTGGTGGGCTACAATCCATGGGATCACAAAAGAGTTGGACATGACTTAGTAACTAAACAACAACAGTAATAAATGATGTTGAGCATTTTTTCATGTGTATATTGACCATTCATGTATCTTCTTAGGAAACATATCTGTTCATATCCTTTTGCCTATTTTAAAATTGGATTATTTGCCTTTTTGTCATTAAATAAGAGTGCTATATATATATTCTAGATATAGACCCTTATAAAATACATGGCTTTATAACATTTTCTTTCATTCATGAGTTGTTTTTTTCATTTTGTTAATAGCATCCTTTGAAGCAAAAAAAGTTCTCAATTTTGCTGAAGTTCATTTTATCTATTTTTCCCTTTGGTTGCTTTTGCTTTTGATATTATATCTAAGGAACCTAATCCAAGGTCATGAAAACTTAAACCTATATCTTATTCCAAGAGCTTTGTAGTTGTAGCTCTTATATTAGGTATTTGGTCCATTTTTAATTAATTTTTGTATATGGTGTGAGGTACTTCTCTAACTTCATTCTTCTGCATATGGATACCCAGTTGTCTCAGGTCGTTTGTTGAAAACACTGTTCTTTCCCCACTGAATTGTGGTGGTACCCCTGTTGAAATCAGTCAATTGTAAATTTATGAGTTTATTTATTGACTCTTGATTCAACTCTTGGTTCAATTCCACTGACCTATATGTACCTTGATTCACGTAGATTTGTAGTAAATTTTGAGATTGGAAGCTGTGAATTTATTCTTCTTTTTAAAAATTGTTTAATCTATTTTTGGTCCCTGGCATTTATCAGTTTCTGCAAAGTTAGTTGGGATTTTGAAAGTCAGTCAGTCAGTTCAGTCGCTCAGTTGTGTCTGACTCTCTGCTACCCCATGGACTGCAGCACGCCAGGCCTCCCTGTCTATCACCAACTCCCGGAGTTTACTCAAACTCATGTCCATTGACTTGGTGATGCCATCCAACCATCTCATCCTCTGTTGTCCCCTTCTGCTGTTGTCCTCAATTTTCCCAGCATGAGTCAGTTCTTAGCATCAGGTTGTCAAATATTGGAGTTTCAGCTTCAGCATCAGTCCTTCCAGTGAATATTCAGGATTGATTTCCTTTAGAATGGACTGGTTGGATCTTCTTGCAGTCCAGGGGACTCTCAAGGGTCTTTTCCAACACCACAGTTCAAAAGCATCAATTCTTCGGCACTCAGCTTTCTTATAGTCCAACTGTCACATCCATACATGACTGCTGGAAAAACCGTAGCTTTGACTAGATGGACCTTTGTTGGCAAAGTAATGTCTCTGCTTTTTCTTATGCTCTCTAGGTTGGTCATAGCTTTTCTTCCAAGGAGCAAGCATCCTTTAATTTCATGGCTGCAGCCTCCATCTGCCAAGATTTTGGTGCCGACCAAAATAAAGTCTGTCACTGTTGCCACTGTTCCCCATCTATTTGCAATGAAGTGATGGGGCCAGATGCTATGATCATTTTCTGAATGTTGAATTTTAAGCCAACTTTCACTCTCCTCTTTCATTTTCATCAAGAGGCTCTTTAGTTATTCTTCACTGTCTCCGGTGGAGGCATGGGTTGGCAATGACTTGCTGCTTTGTTGGGGACACTGAGTGAGGCAGAATGTGCATGGGACCTTTTGATGGAGGTCACCATTATCTTCTTTACCTCCACCATAGTTTGACCCCAGGTAAATAACAGGGAGGGAACACAGCCCCACCCATCAATAGAAAATTGGATTAAAGATTTACTGAGCTTGGGGGCCATCAGAATAAGACCCAATATCCCCCTCAGTCAGTCTCTCCCATCAGGAAGCTTCCATAAGCCTCTTAGCCTTCTCCATCAGAGGGCAGACAGACTGAAAACCACAATCACAGAAAACTAACCAATCTGACCACATGGACCACAGCCTTGTCTAATTCAATGAAACTATGCACCATGCTATGTAGGGCCACCCAAGATGGATGGGTCATGGTGGAGAGTTCTGACAAAACGTGGTCCACTAGAGAAGGGAATAGCAAACCACTTCAGTATTCTTGCCTTGAGAACCCCATGAACAGTATGAAAAGGGATTTTGAAAGAGATTGCATTAAATCCATACTTTGGAAAGTATTGCCATCTTCATATTAGGGCTTCCAATATTTGAACACAGGGTATCTTCTCACTTATTTAAGTCTTTTAATTTTCTTTCAATGATGTTTTATAGTTTATGTGCAAGTCTTGACTTCTTTTGTATAGGTATTATATTCTTTTTGATGCTATAAATGAAATTGTTTTCTTAATTTCATTTTCTGCTTTCTCATGCCTAAAATAACAATGATTTTTGCATATTGCTCCTATTCCTGCAGCCTTCTTGAACTTGTTTTTTACCTCTTACAGTTTTATGTGTATATGTATATGGATTTGTTAGGGTTTTTTGTCTGTATAAGATCATGTCATATGTAAATAGAGTTTTACCTCTTCCTTAGCAATTAAATGCCTTTCACTTATTTTTCTTGCCTAACTGCCCTGACTAGGACTTCTTGCACAGTGTTTTATTTTTAATTGAAATATAGTTAATTTCCATTATTATATTAGTTTCAAATGTGCAACATAATGATTCCATATTTTTACAGATTATATTCCATTGTAAATTACTACAAGATAATGGCAGTGGTATGCTATGTATCTTTGTTGCTTATCTCTTTTATATGTAGTAGTTTGTATCTATTAATTCTACACTCTAATTGTCCTTCCCTTTTTCTCTTTGGTAACCACAAGTTTGTTTTCTATATTTGTGAATATGTTTCTGTTTTGCATATATATTCATTTGTATCCTAGACACTGTTGAATAGAAGTGGAGAGAACAGACATCCTTGTTTTGAAAGCTTTCA